AGAAGCTCTTTCAGAGATGGTTCCTGTCTGCCCCATGTCCTCACTGTGCTTAGAAGAGGCAGTGTCAGCGGTATGGTGCCACATAGAGAAACACAGAGAAAGGAGATTTACGATTAAAGTGGGAGATGAAGTGAGGTAGCAGCTTTGAGTAATGCTTAGTCACCACCATCACCAAGATAATGTTTCCAGCACCCCAGAAAGTTGCTTTCGTTCCTTAGGAGACTAAGTGTTGGTGTTAACAGCATTGAACTTCCATTACAGCAGCTCTCCTACAGAAGGAATAGACCCTGAAAATGAGACTTAGAAGGAGATGGTCAGGTCAGAGAAGTTCTTGGGGAATTTAATGTGTCCTTGAACCACCTGTTAGGTCTAAAGTACAGTCCTGTGAACTGTACTGAGAATCGTCCCTCCTTTCCAAGAAGCTGTTGAGAGGTTGTTCAAGATCAAGTCTATTTTACAGTTAGCAGGACTGGAAGGAAGAGAGGATGTAAAGTACGTTGTTTATTGTAGCAAAATTCTAAATACTCTTAAAATAATAAGTAGAAATTTGTTTTGCAAAGTGAACACTGGCGTGGAAAGATGTTAATAAAAATACTGAGTGTAGAAGCAGGTAGCAACATTATATACAATCCGATTTCAGTCTTGTTAAAATAAAAGACAGATATGATAGGAAATAACACTATTTCTGGCTGGTAGTATTTTGCATATTTATTTCCTATATTTCAGTATTTTCTGAAGTTAACACAACGTCCATGTGTAGTTTTGGTATCAAAATTTTAAAAAAGAATACATTTTAAAAGGAGGATTAACTGTTAATAAAAAGGACCCAGAAAATGACAAGTTGGAGCATATCAGCATTTTAGGATGTCAGCATTGTTTTGTTTCCTCCACATTTGTAGATAACTGTCAGGCTGACTCTGTGTTTTTCACAGCACAAGAGAAAACGTCGCTCCACACCTCTGAGTTCTTCGACACTTCCTTCACCAGAAATAGAAGACAGCTCCTATCTGCAGACTACAGAAATCTCCCTGTGGACTGTAGTGGCTGCTGTCCAGGCTGTGGAGAAGAAGATGGAGTCGCAGGCTGTCCGACTGCAGACCCTGGAGGGGCGTGCAGGGACGGCTGAGAAGAAGCTGGCCGATTGTGAGAAGATGGCTGTGGAGTTCGGCAACCAGCTGGAGGGCAAGTGGGCCGTGCTGGGGACGCTGCTGCAGGAGTACGGGCTGCTGCAGCGGCGGCTGGAGAACATGGAGAACCTGCTCCGCAACAGGAACTTCTGGGTCCTGCGGCTGCCCCCGGGCAGCAAGGGCGAGGTGCCCAAGGTCAGTTTGTGAGTTTTAAAGGCCATCAAGGGAGACTAGCCTTTTCACTTAAGCCACTAGCTGCCTTTCCTTCCTGGCCACACTTGGAGGCCCTCACCATGTAGTGTCTACAATTCCAGGTGTCCGGCTCGTTAGAGGATGATGGGATCTGTCTCTCAGAGCAGGAGTGGGAGAACCTTGAAGACTGGCAGAGGGAGGTGTACCACAATGTGATGAAGAGCAACTATGAGACTCTAGTCTCTCTGAGTAAGTGTTCTCAGAATTTTCCTTCAGCCGGTATTAACATTCCTGGTCTGTGACTCATCACCTAGGTTCCTACAATCTCAAGTCCCAGTGGTTCTCAGTTGTCCTATATGGAGTTGAGAATGGGCATCACTTCCCATTTCAGAGATGTTTGAGGAGGTCTCACGGGTTTTTATATCTTTTGGGTTTGAGATGCAGTGTATGGAGTCACCTAGATTCTTGAGAGATAAGAATCACTGGGGGTGGGGAAGGAAAAAAAAGAATCATTGGCACAAAGCTGTTTTCTGTCAGGTGGAGGTCAGGCACACGTCTGCTGTCCACGGTCATCGTTTCCGACACCAGCCATGCCCTGCTCTACTTCTCTGTTTGCTTTGATAATTCATTTAGAGCAGCCACCTAGACACAGGTCATACAGTTGTGTGGTATATTCTTGTAACTGGCTTCAGTTTGCACTGAGGATCAAGAAGTCAGGAAGACTCTGAAGTGGAATGTGTATTCCTTCCTCAGTGCAGGAAACACCAAGGCAGCCCTCCTGGTGCTCTCAGCTGTGTAGGTCCTGCCTCTCCTCCATGCAGGCCCTGCTTTCAGGCTGTCTGCAGCATGGGGCAGTTTTGGAAAGCTCTCTTAGCTGCTTTCCTAGCAGCAGCTTTCCAGACTCCTCCTCACCAGTTCTCTGCTGATGTGCTGCCGTGGACCGCTTCTGGGCAGTTCACTGCCTTCCCTTTGTAGCCCTGGACCCTTCCTACTGCTCTTCTAGGAGGTTCCCCTCACAGGAACCCTGACCACATTCTCCTGAGCCTAGCTTCTTGGAAGTTAGGCTTCCCTCCTTGTCACCATCTCCTCCATGGGAGAGTGATGTACTCTCTCCTCACATGCAGGTTATAGCCTCTGAAAACCTACTGGAGGGTCAGCTGTTAGTCTCTTCCCATTCAACAGCAGTGAGTTATGTTTTACTTTCTTTTGTGTTTGCCTTTTTTGTTTTTTTAAGTCCTCCCAGCAATAACCTTCCAATTCCCTTGATCTCTTCAGAGATTCTCAGCCCAAGAGATGTCACTCAACACAGGTCTTAAAGAACTTCCCAGGGAGAGAGTCACCCGCTCAGGCAGAAAGCAACTTGAGAGGGCCCCTAGGTGTTTTTTTCCAGAGAAGTAGGGCAAAGGAAACAGCTGTTGAGCAGTTGAGAACCTAGCAAAGGGCCCCTAAAGGAACTGCTGCAGCCAGTATTCCTCTGGATCATAGCCTTTGGTAACACTGAGTGAACACGTCCGGTGCGTGTGTTGTCACACACCTGAAGTAACGCTGGCTCCTCAGACTGTTGTTAATACCTGGCTTAGGGATTTCTTTGCATTTGACTGAATTGCAGTCAGTCACATGGTCTTGTGTTTCATCATGCTGGTTCCAAGTGCCACTGAACAGCTATGATATTCATGTAGTTATGTAGTAATTATTACACAGTGAACATTTTGTTTATTTGAGAACATCTTTTCAGCTCAGATCCATGGGATAATAGCAGAAAGGTCAGTATTTCAGGAGCAGACTGGCTGAGGAGCCTAAAAGCGTTTGGCCTGCCCTGGACTGGATGGTTCCTTCATGCCTGGCTCTTTTAAATGTTGGGTTAAGGTTCTGAATTCATTCTGCAGGACAGAGCTGGGTCCCTTCGAGAAGCACTTCACATTGATGACATGTGCACAACAGCAGACTTGGGCTGCGGAGGTTCTGGGGTTTTGGTGGGTGAAAGAGCAAAGACAGAGGGTGATGACCACTTGACGAAAACTAACTGTTTCTAATTGTGCTAATTCATCAGGGAAAAGTAGTGAGGGCAGCAGCTTTGATTACTGGACTTTAGTATTTACCCCTAACAACAGTCATTCAGAAAGTACACACAGACAAAAACACTGGTCACTAAGTGAGCACATACTGACCCTGACACTGGTCAGTCAGCAAGCCCATATGGACCCTGATGCCAGTCAGTGAATACATACTGACCTGTGATACTAGTCTGTCGGCAAGCATAAACCGACTGCTAATCCCTGGGACTGACCACTGAGCATGTATTTATACTGACAGCAGTCTGTCAGTGAGCACTAATGAGTACTGACCCCTGACCCCTAACACTGGTCTGTCAGCATATACTGACGCCTGACAGACAGTGAAAATGCCCTGACACTCACCCTGGACACTAAGTGAGCACCCCTGACAAACAGTAGTCACCGAGTGACCGTGGTCACTGAGGGAGCATGTACTGACTGGCACTGCTCACCATGCTCAGTCAGTTTCTAGAATCAGATCATGTTGTTTCCTCCCAGAGGTTCTTGGCCAGCCTGAAGGAGAAGCAGAGCTGGGTACAGAGATGCTAGGTGGCTTGGAGGAGGAAGGTCCTGGCAGTGCCCACCCAGGTGAGTGGCTCCAGAATATTCCCCTCCTGCTCTACCCCTCACAACCTCCAGTAAGCTCTGTCTCGGCTACACTACCAGACGTGAGTGTGACATTGTGGTCACTAGTTTACCTGTCTTAACTTCTTACCACTGCTTAACTTTGTCACAGTGTCCTGTGCATGTGACAAGTCTCAGAGCTGCTGGACACTGAGAGCTGGTGACTCAGATCCCCAAGAGTGATGTTGACAGGGTGGGAATCAAGAAGAGAATGTATTGTTAAGAGAGAAGTTTCTTTTTTGTTGGTAGTCAAACTTATTAACACTTTCCACTTCATTTAAGTTTTGCATTATAGAGAAATTGGGACATTTTCCACAGGGATTAAGTACCTTGGAAGTTGTCATTTATAACGTTGTTCTAGAAGAGTATCTTCAGACTCCTGTCACAAAGTCTTTGTGAATACAGCTCTAATTATTGAGTCTGCCTGGTCAGCTTTCCCCATGCTGTCCTGACCCCCGTCCTTGGTGCTTTGAACTCTTCTAAGAGCTCCCTGCTCCCTCCAGAGACCAGTGGTGTTGGAGCTCACCTTCTCATCTGGTCTTTTCTTTGCAGCAGACAGAGTCGTGATCAAACAGGAGGTGCAGTATGAGCAGGAAGGCTTAGACGATGTTTCTGGAGAGATCCCAGGCACAGCAGAAGAGCAGACACTCTTGCATCCGGAGCAGGCAGCCTTCTGGGATGGTCAGGACAGCTCTGCCTTTGTGGAGTCAAGCCCAGCGGGCTTGGACCCAGAGGATCCTGCTGAGACCGGTAGAGATGCCAGCAGTGGCCGAATTCTGGGGGGCCGCCGGAAGCAAACGTCCAGTAGGCGGGTGCACATGGGTCAGGAAGCAGGTCTGGGCCTACAACTGCAGAGGGATTTGGCCAGTCCCTTGGGGTGCTTGGAGTGTGGGGTCACCTTCCGCAGCAAACAGCAGCTGTCTGTGCACCAGAGGACCCACTCGGAATGGATGTCTCACACAGACCCAGAACCTGGAGAGAACCTGCGGTCCCGGCCTCGGCTCAAACCCCAGGCCAGGAAGGGCCGGCTACACCAGTGTGCTGTGTGTCTGAAGAGCTTCAGTTGCCAGGTGAGCCTGACCACCCACCAGCGCTGCCACCTGCAGGAGGGACCTGTAGCTGGCCCACACGCCCAGGAGAGATTCTCGCCCAACAGCCTGGTAGCCCTGCCTGGCCACATCCCCTGGAGGAAGAGCCGGAGTGCTCTCATCTGTGGCTACTGTGGCAAGAGCTTCAGCCACCCGTCTGACCTTGTGCGGCACCAGCGCATTCACACGGGTGAGCGGCCCTACCGCTGCCCTGAGTGTGACAAGAGCTTTGTGCAGAAGCAGCATCTCTTGCAGCACCAGAAGACCCACCAGCGCAAGCGCAGCGGGCCAAACCTTGAGCCCGGGAGGCCCCAGGGCCTGCTCTAAGGGCACCGGCCCCTCGCTGCCGGGGGGGCGGGGGGCGTGCTCTGGTCCCTAAGACAGTGGCTGTGGAGGCAAGTGTTGCCCTTGCCCTGGGGTTGAGGGACAGGCCCAGTCGCCAGTGGTTGGCCTGCAGGCCCCCGGGCCAGGCCTCTGCTGCCTGTCTGCTACTGAGGTGGCTCTCCTGGGGTTACCTCAAGGCCAGGTCTTCAGGTCAGGGTCAAGGGGACCAGACGGCCACCGCTTTATGGAAGAGCCCCTCCACCTCTGTGGCCCATTTGTCCCTAACACATAGAAGTGACCTAGTGACAGCTCACACTACATTGCTCTAAAGGACCTTTTGGAGTCAGATTTTTGCTAATTTTTAAATATAGAGGCCAACACTTGTTTTTAGATTTCAGAGTTGTCATTGTTTATCCAACACAGGGACTGGTCCTGCCCTAGGGAAGGGAATAGTTTTTGTGTCTCTGAAGCCCTCATGAGGGCAGAGAGCAGGACAGTGCAGCAAACACCTGTCCTTTCAGAGGATGAAAGGAGGTGGCTCCACACTGCTTCCTCGGCCCACCCTGTCTGGAGACTCCAGGCAGAAGAAGCCTGCTTCTGTTCTGCTCCAGGCACCACAGACTGCGCCCCTGCTTCTCTGTGACTGTGCACTGAGGTAGTTTCCAGGAAGAGGGTGGGGTGAGGGCTGTGAATGGGATCAGCTCTGATGTCTTGGTGATGTCTCCTTGTGATTGACAGTGGCCTAGAATAAAATATTACTAGAAAAACAGGCACACTCGTGTTCTGCATTCCCACAGGTGCTGTCCTGGGGCCGTCAGAGGAGGGTGTTTATGACAGCCTCTGTGTCTTTTGCAGAGTGGTGACTATGGTGGGTCAGGACACAGGAGCAGTTAGAGGTGTGTGTGGACTGATAGGCACAAGCCACCGACACGAGAAAGGAGAAGGTCCATCACTGACATCTGTGCGCTTGAGGGCTTGCTACAGCCACTACAGGCCAGAGGGTCCTGTAGGGCTGAAAGGGATAAAATGTACAGCAGGGGCCCTGGGCCAGCTCTAGGGTGTAGACTGGCCATCCACATCCCACTTGTCAGTCCAGGCCAGTCCTCTCAGCTTATCCCTGACCCCACTTCAAAGCTGCCACTTGTTTTCAGGGTGGATTTGAACTGCCAGCTTTTGGACTGGCAGCACATTTCCTTAGCCACTAGCCCACTAGAGCTTCCTGTGGGCTAGTTAGCAGCTTTCTGCAATCAAAGAATGAAAGGGTTTGTGACTTGTCTGCCCTGCCTTGCTCTGCTGTCCCTCAGTGAGGGTCTTCATTGCCTCAGACTACTCAGCGGCATCTTTTACAGATTACCAGAGTTACTGGTAGTTACTGTCCTAGAACACAACTGCAAATGGATGTCCTGATAAGCTCGCTGTCTCCTGACTGATCTCTGTCTGGCTTGCTCCCTGAGCCAGGCTTCCCTCTCCCACAAACACCCGCCTGCCCAGCTCATAGGATGCTTCTTAGAAAGATCCTCTGTACCTTGTTGCTTCAGCAAACAGACTGGCTCTTGTTAAGACACTGGCACATGCAGCACTTCTGTATTACCTCAATGTGTCCAAAATACATTTTGTCATGCAATCAGTATAAATTATTAATGAGGTGTTTTGCATTTTTTTCCATGTGTACCATAGAGTCAGGACCAACCCAAAGCTGAGCCTCCAGTGGGGTTTCAGTGGGGTTTTCAGAGGCAGTTAATCACATGGGAGGGGATTGCCCATCCTTCTACCATAGAGCAACTGGTGGCCTCGAACTGTGTGGCTTCAGGACTGCAGCACAGCTTCTTGCCACTAGGCTACCAGAACTCCTTTTTTTTGGATACCATATCTTTTTTGGTTTTGTTGTTTTGCATTATCAGAGAAGCCTTAAAGCTCTTTGGGGTTTGGGGTGTGTGTGTGTGTGTGTGTGTGTGTGTGTGTGTTTGTATTTTTGTAAGGGTTGCATTTTGAATGGAAATTTACAAAGCTGATTGGTTTTTCACCCTTCTATTTACACACAGTTTGTTTTATAACATCCATAAAGTCCCCACAGGGTAATTGCTTGTTTCCCATATCCTTGCAGTAGTGCTGATCTCCATTAACCCTTCCGTCCTGACCCTTCCTGCCTCCAGGTCTTTCTCTCTGGGTAAATGCTGCTGTTTGCATTTTATACATTGGTTGGTTACTGTGAGAAGTGATGCCTCCCTAGTGGTGGTGATCACCCAAGCTGGCACTTCTAAATATTTTGAGATACAAATTGTGAACAGGCAGATCTTTGCTCCAGTTGGGTTCCGATCTGTCGGATCTCTTCTCCCTGTGACTCCAGCAACATCCTAGTCTACTTGCTTACAGATACCCCATGTCCACCTTAACAAGACCTGAGAGGAAAAAAAGCAAGGAAGACCCTCAACAAGGTGTACTGACCCAGTGATAACAAGGCGCTCAAGCATGTCCAAGATCATGAGGATGGCACAGGAGAGGGCAAGGTCCAGATCTGTTGTTCATATGTCACTGTGATTCATACTGGACTCAACGACACCTAACCACAGGGTGGCCGTGCAGAGCAGGCACAGAGTGAGCTCACGGCTAGTGAAGGGATTCAACTCAGAGAGGCCTGTGTCACACCCAAGATGCTCCGGCTCAGGGTTATAAGGGAATTCTCTGTGATGTCCAAATATAAAGAAAATATTAAGCGGTTCCTACTGTCATGGAGCCTGTTCTGATTGAGTGACCCTCCGTTGCACATCTGAGGCTGTAAATACTAAAACTTTCGGCCTCAGAGCAACTGGTGGGTTCAAGCTGCAGACACATTAAAAAGATTAGCAATCTGACATAATAAGCAGTTTGACACTTCTGGGCCTTTTAAGGAAGAAAAGGATATTATAATCCTTTTAGTAAGTTTGTAAAGAGAAAGAAGCAGTGTGCTTTAGACGGTGGGGTATGAGAAGCAGGGAGGAAAATGTGGGGTGAAGGGTTTTGGATCTTGATTGGTAACAGCTGAGGAATCTCCAGCATGAGAGTGACCTGGGAATATTAATTTAGTAAGAACTGACTCCTAGCTGACCCTCCAGTGGATTTTCAGAGACCATAAACGGCACAGAAGAGCATTAATACGTTGCTGCACACTTAAATTGACGACCGTGCTTAAAACACTTTTTTTTTGCCGTCATTTGCGGCAGTATTAAACTAGGGAGGGGTAATGCTTTTCTCTGGGACAGGAACTAAGCTGGAAGGTTTCTCAGGGAGATCAAAGAAAAAGTGTGAGCATATGTCCAACCACAGAAGAGTGCAGTACAGACTCAATTCCCCAGGCAGGGTCCAGGAGATGCTGCTCCTGAGGGCAGGGCCCCATCTCGCTCTCACTCACACCAGCCTCCACATACCAAAGTGGTCTGTGGGATGGACAAGCCTGCTGGGCATTCACAGGTTAGGGATGCAGTGTTGTCAGAGGTGGGCAGCTCCTGGGGAAAGGTAGTTTGGTTCTTTTCTTTCTGGTCTCCTCCTACCAGTACTTCCCCCACCCCCAAACTTTCCTGCCGTCATTACGGTTCTGTACAGCCCACCATCTAACCCAGACCACTTACCTGGATGGACAGGTGCAGGGGCTGCAGCAAGTCTCTCAGCTCCCCTGTCCTGGTGAGGTCCCTATGGTAGGGGACAAGGGTACTTGAATACCTGTACCTTCCTGTACCCTGCAGTGGAGGCTGATGAGCAGCTGTTTCCCAGGGGGACCTGCCAGGACCCCCACGGGAGGTCAGTTCACTGGAGTCTGCAGGCTCTGGGGCTCTGAACTGTCACCATGATGAAGGTCAGTTCAATTTGTCAGAACTTCTCCTGACCCACCAAAGTACTGGGCTGAACAATGGGGCAGAAAGGTTTCTTTAATTGTAAAATCAATATGAAAGAACCTGTTGGAGCCTGCTAAATAATTTTAAATCGTTGTCTTCATGCCGGGAGATCATGTCTCCTGGAAACTATTAGAACCCACTCTCATTACAACTTGCTGATCTGTTACTGTCCTTCATAGACTGGACTGACCCCTGACTGGATCCTGCGAGCAAGTGCATTTAATGTCTTCAACACATTTGCAAGCTTTATGATGCAGCGTTAATTCAAGAAGGGATTTACAATAAATATTGCCATATGTAATGCCATGTATTGATTTCTTGTTAATAAAAAGTAACCTTGCTCCAGAATATAGAGGATGCACACAACTTGGAGAGATCACTTATTGTTAACTGAGCACACTTTTGCTGCTTGGATTAATCTTTTGCACAAATGTTTTGCAAACGGGTTACACACAAGGGAGCAATAGCTGCCACTCTGCAGAGCGAGGACAGCACGTGGGGTGGAAATGCAGAAAAGACTGCGAACCAAGGATTCGTCTTGGCTTTCCCGAGGGTGCCTGGGTCCTGATTTAAGGAGGTGGGCCCCTTCCGGGTCTACAGGTGGCCTTCCCGGTCTCCAGTGGCCGACAGATGGCCCCTGGCAGGAGGAGACCTTCCCTTTCCTAATAAGTGGTGGTCCCAGGAAATGAGACCTGTCTGTCTGGTTCACACACACCCCCACCTCCACCATCTCTTTCCCGCCACCTTTGGAGCCTTGGCCGGGGCGAACGGGAATGGGGGCCGTGGGGTTCGGCCTTCACCGGCCCGGCCCGCGGTCCCTGCCTTCCCTGCAAAGCGCACAAGGCCGCTGTGCCTCGGGCCGACCGGCGGCCAGCTGTGCCCGGCGCAGGTCCTGGGGCCGAGGTCCTGGACCACGGAGCCGGCGTGGGACGTGGACCTTCCAGGACCCGACGGCTCAAGGTTGGGGACCCGGAGCGGGCGCGCTCGGACCGAGAGGGGCCCGGCCGGGCGGGCAGGCGGACGTCGATGTGGTCCTTCCGGCCGCAGGGGGCGCTGTCCGCGGCCGCGGCTCCGCTTAAAGG